ATATGACTGTAACCATATTATAAAAGTAACTATCTCTAGACTGCTGGGCTCAATCTGCACTAAAAATGTTTTTAAATTTCTAATATTAGCTATGCTTCACACAAACAGACACACTAGCTATGCGGCTTTCCGGCTGTCCCAGAAACCCTGCTGTCCGAGTACTCCGGGCGGCAGTGCAGGGAGACTGGAGAGAGGATGCTCCGGCCGGATGGGGCAGCAGGATTCCCGGGAGAGCCCTGTCCTCCGGGCTCACCATGTTGTAGAGCGGCGTGGTGTTGATGAGCAGCTGGACGAGGATCTTGCCCAGCTCCTGGAGGTCAGTCACCACCACCGCCAGCGATGCCCGCGCCCGCTCGGGCAGGGAGAGCGCCAGGCTCACGGGCCGCAGCGCCGCCAGCCGGAGCGCCAGCTCGGATGCCCGCCTGCGCGCCAGCGTCTGCAGGGACTGCAGCCGGTAGATCCCGGCCACGTACAGCGTGAGGAGCATCTGTGCCAGGCCCGACACTGCCTCCGCCACGAGGGTCAGACCAATCTGAGGGGGAGAGAGAGGTCAGAGAGAGAGGGGAGAGGGGGAGGAGAGAGGGACAGAGAGATAGAGAGGGAGAGAAAGAGAGAGATTAGAGAAATACTAGCCTTCTGCGTCACTGTCAGACACCGCCAGGCAAGGCTATACCAGATGTAGCACTGCAGTGTTTGAGCCTCCTCCTCTTTGTGCTATGTGCTGTGTAACTGTTGCATTATGCCAGTGTGGAGGCTGATACGTCAGGGGTCTGTATGCACTGCTCAGATCCCATGCCACATTAAAAAAAAGTACTCTTACTGTTCAAATTTCAGCTCTGTGCTGTAAAAATCTTGAAATTGGCTAGCAATTGGTAAAAACTGGAAAAAATGGCAATAGAACAAGATGGGAGAGCTGGGATGGGCCGGCAGTGCCCAGGTGTGACGGTACTGCTCCAGAAGTGCCAGGCTCTGCTGCTGCCCCGAGCTGAGGGTCTGGCCAAGCTGGCACAGGGGCACAGGGGCCCCCCACCAGCTCCTGGCCGAATTCCTCCACCCCGGTCTCGTGGACAGAGGATTCGGAAAGGGATCCTGTCCTCTGCCCCGGCCGTCCAGGTTCCTCGCAGCAGGGGGGGGGGGGGGGGGCGGCGCAAAACGGGACCCCCCCACACCCGGCCTGCCAACCGGGGCGCGGAGCTGGCACGGGGCACCCCAAGAGCTGCCAGGCAGGTGCCTCGGTTCTGCAGCGGCTCACGTTTTCCTCGTGACCGACCCCCCCTCCCCTCCTTTCCCTGGTTCTTAATGAGGGGCTGCAATTCTGCCAGCTCTGCACATTCCCAGTGTACCCCCCCGCCCCCCGGCCCCCCCGACCGACACCCCGCAGCGAGGTCTTGTCCCCAATTACCCAGAAGCCCTCCTCACGTGAATTCCTGCGGCCCCCCTGTCACGCCGCATTACCGTCGCACCAGATGCCCGCGAGCACGGAGGTCCGCGCTCCCCGCCAGCGATCTAGGGCCACTGGCCAGAATATTAGGGACCCCGCACCCCCCTCCCTCGCTCCCTGTCTGGGCTGGAGGAGCAGGAGACGGGCTCCCTTCTCCTTGCCTGGCCTGGCCCTTCCCTAGATCTCAGCCCTGGAGGAAAA